CGCTAGACAACGACAATTCTTCCCCATTGGAAGGCATTAAACAGGTTTCAATGCATTCCAATGGGGAAATGCTTTTTGCTAGACGATGATTTCGCTAAACAGCTATTTCAGTGGAATAGATTATCATTGTCTAGCGAGGCACCACTGTAATCACACTTATGCCCAAACAACAAGGCACCCAACCCAGAGTTGTCAATTTCCCACCCCAACCTCCATGGTCAGGAAGTAACTCACACGCCGGGTCCTCTCCACGCCCAGGTCGTTGAATCCTGAAAGGCAAAGAGACATTTTTGCGACATTGACAGTGTTATTCTGGTCCCCAGTGTGGGTGCAGGGGTATGCGTGGAGTTGAAGGATGCTGCTTCTCTGTCCTCAGCCCTCGGAGATGAGAAAAGTTACGTGCTTGGATTAAAGCTCTCAGAAATCCCCACAGCCCACATGATGGGCAAGGACCACATGAGTTGAAGGATTTAGGAAGTGGATCTTCAAACAAAGAACATTCCCATCTCTGCCTTATGCTTGACTAGGGATGGTATTTTCAGATTTTCTGGACTACAGAGGCCATAATTCTCCATTCTGGGAGGTCTACAATCTTCCAGACACCTTGAGTGTCAGGCACTTGGGAGAAAGAACCTACATTGGAAGGGTAGGAGACCTAGCTAGGCCAAGTTCTACTCAAGTCTCTCGCTCAGAAAGAAAAGTCCCAACGAGCACTAAAGCAGAGCTTGCCATAGTCAGTTTGCTGAGCACCACTGCGTTACAGCTCCTTTCTTGTAGACTTACCAGAGAGTTAGGATACCGAATTAGAACTGGCTGGACGGGGACACCCGATATGAAGGCACCTAGGAATACAGAATATAGACCTCAAGATTTGCTTCAGCATCCTATGACTACTGAATATTAAAGGTAAAGGATCCCCTTGACATTTAGTCCAGTCGTGTCCGACTCTAGGGCACGGTGCTCATCCCTGTCTGCAAGCTGTAGAGCCAGCCTTTGCCCGTAGACAGTTCCCATGGTCGCGTGAGTCGTGTCCGTAGACATGGAACGCCATTACCTTCCGACCGAGGTGGTACCTATTTATCTACTCGCATTTTTTACATGCTTTCGAACGGCTAGGTTGGCAGGAACTGGGACAAGGGATGGGAGCTCACTCCATCGCTTGGATTCGATCTTACGACGGCTGGTCTTCTGACCTTGCAGCACAGAGGCTTCTGCGGTTTAACCCACAGCGCCACCACGTCCCCGCTGAATATTAGGCATGGCATTTTCAGAAATTGTGAACTGCCGTTCTCAGACATCTGCAAGAATTCCACCGGCCAGACTTCGGAAGTTTTCAGACAAGAAATCGAAGCCCTGACCGTTGTTTCGGAGTTCTCACAGCTAACGAATAAGCCATTTTCATCTTGTAAAGAAGATGGGGTCATGGTTCGGCCAAAGTTAAGCTCTGTGGGAGGTGTGAGGGGTTATTCCGCCTCATAGTCTCCACCCATTAGCCTCTACACAAGAAGCCTCTTAAAAAAAGTACCTCTTCAATCATTCCTCATAGCTCCCACAGAGCTGGTCCTCAACCAAACCACTTCCCTTGTCTTCTCTATAGGATGAAAATGTCTGTCGGGGCACGAGTGTATTAGCTTAAGGACTTGAAAATGCCTGTCAGGATTTTGATTGCCTGATTAAAGAGTTCAGAGGGAGTGGTCCACAAATTCCCAAATTCCCATGTCTACTGAATCTAGTTTATAGACAAGAGGTTCAGGGATAAACCTCTTATAGACTGAATTTTAACTGTTATTTCATTGAAAACATAACTATGGCAGAAGTTGGGTTGAACCAAGACAGGCTGGTTGGCTAAGTAGCCCATATGTGTATCACACAGGGAAAACCTCCTTTTCAGAGCAGGCTGTGCGTTGTGTTAATTGGCTATCCTTATATGTCAATTACAAACAGCAGCCAATTCCTCCCCCCGCCCCCCCCTTTTTAGAACAAGATAGTTTTTCAGAACTATCTGGCAGTTCTGCCTTTTGCAGACCCCAACTTCGGCATCAACGGGCCTGTTTTTGAAGTGTTTAAAAAACATGTTTTAAAAAAACATCCTTAAAAACCCGCTCAACAACAAGCTGCATAAAAGAGTCCAGGCCCTTTGAGAAACGGAACAAAAGGTTAAAATAAAACTTCAAAAATCAAATCACAGAACCCAGCAGAATCAGAGAAGAAAGCATCTGTGATCTTTTCTTCGCTTCAGAACGGGAAAGATTTTTTGAACTACAACTCCCACAATGAGGTGTTTTGCACCCATGATCCCTTTCTGTGCTGACTTGGACTTCACTAATTCCCGTTAAAACAAGGTGTGCCGTGGAGGTAACATACATTGTTTGTGAGCCGTGTGTGTGCTATTCAAGCTACAGCTTTCTCGGCTGCACCCTCAAAACCACAACTCCCAGTGCAGCCTCCACCCACTCTAAGATAAATACTTTGCAAAATCCAACAGCGAAACACTTTTGAACTATAGTAAGAAGCCAGTGTTACACCCAAAGAAGTGGATACTTCTGATCCACGAAAGCTTGCTTAAAGTATAATGCCTTTTTAGTGGTCTATCAAGGTGTCACCTGCTCCTACATTCATATTGTGTAATGACCACGCACCTCACAATTATTTCAATCTGTCTGAAACGTGAATCGTGCTTTCTGGAGAGCTATTCAACCTATCTGAGGGAACAATAAAACGTTTTATTGGGAAGGGGTATCCTGTGGGAGCCACGAAACGGCCTGCATCTGGTTCACGGCTCCTGTTTTTGTTCACCCCTCATTTAAGAGTAACCCCCCTCCATCCCTAACCCCCCCCCCAAAAAAAACTTCTGTTCTCCTACCTGGTTTGAATTTCAATAAGGCTTTTTTATTTGAGCAAGTTCCCTCTGGGAAAAAAAGCACCTGGAAAGAAGAGAGGGGAGACAAAAGGAAAAGAGTGAAGAACATTAATAATAATAATAATAATAATAAGAATAAGAATAAGAATAAGAAGAAGAAGAAGAAGAAGAAGAAGAAGAAGAAGAAGAAGAAGAAGAAGAAGAAGAAGAAGAAGAAGAAGAAGAAGAAGAAGAAGAAGAAGAAGAAGAAGAAGAAGAAGAAGAAGAAGAAGAAGAAGAAGAAGAAGAAGAAGAAGAAGAAGAAGAAGAAGAAGAAGAAGAAGAAGAAGAAGAAGAAGAAGAAGAAGAAGAAGAAGAAGAAGAAGAAGAAGAAGAAGAAAAACGACAATAATAATAATAATAAACGACAACAACAATAATAATAACAACAACGATGATGACAACGACAACGGCAATAATAAAAACAATAACAACAATAACAACAAAACAACAACAACCATCATTATCATCATCATCATCATCATCATCTTAGAACTGCAGAGCTGCAAGGGACCTTAAGCAACATCAGGTCAAGCCCCTGTGAAGAAGGCACAGTGGGGAATCGAACTCCCAACCTAGCCAGAGACCTAAACCACTGAGCAAAGCCAACCATCAACTGGAGCCGATGTGATGTTTCAGGAGCTCCCGGAGGCTTTACCTGTGGCCATTTCCCCTGGGACGTTGCTCGTTTCTTCACTTCTTCCACCACCTTCTTGCGAGAGGCTGGGTCATGGCGGGAGACCAAGATGGCTTGGTTGAACCTCAGCAGGGCTACAGGTGAGAGGAAAAGAGAGGAGGTGAGGGGGGGGAGAGAACCAGGAAAGGGACCATTTGAGAGGACTCATCTCTAGGCCTTAGCAAGCATTCCCTTAAATCTGGAATTCGGCTTGCTTTGCACATTTGAAAACTATCCCTCTGAATCATGGAAATCAGAAGATAATTGAGTTGGAAGGGGCCTATGAGGCCATTGAGGTTAGGCAGAGCTTGGTAAAGCTACCTTTGTGTAGTACAAAAAAACCCACCAGATGGTACGGAGACTACGTAGCCATGCTTGAATGGACCATTCACAACACTGTGGTTTCCCCAAAGGAACTTTTCCAACCTTTGCCTTTCACAACACTGTGGTTTCCCCAAAGGAACCTTTCCAACCTTTGCTAAAGCTCAGGGGCAGTGCCGTTCTTGGCAACAGCTTGCTTGGAAAAGTTACTTCTGGGAGTACATAATTCCCACAATCCTCCAGCTAGTGAGATTTGAGGATTGGTAAGTCAAAAATATCTTTTTCCAGCTCTAGTCTTTTATCATCATCATCATCATCATCATCATCATCATCATCATCATCATCATCATCATCATCATGACTCCTGTCTAGAAGGGCGGGATAAAAATCCAATAATAAATAAATAAAAAATAAGGGAAATCCTGCTAGAAAAGACATTTATATCTAAATGGGGAATTGGGGGTCTTTATAAAATAGATAGGACACCGGAGTCCACCTGGTGAAGATACACTGTCAGAATTGTGTAGACTCACAAGCTGAGACAGAATTACTCCGTTGACTGATCGGTTTTGTACTGAGATGCCCTGCTGATCAATGGTGCAATTCTGTCGCCTATGAACAGCTTTGATCAATTTACATTATTATTCCTTCTGCAAGTCCCAAGAAAGGGGAAAACACTATGGAGAATCCTGGCACTCCTTCCCCTCGGTGCCATTGGGAATCCTGTCCCATGCTCACCCCAGATTTCATGGCTGTATATTGCCTGTACGGTGCTAATCTAGCTTCAAAACCATGAGGACTAGAAACTTGTTTTGTTTGCAAACAAAACCGAGAGAGTAACGAATGCCCCATTTGGTACCCAATGCAAAATTACATCCCTGTGAGGCACACTTTATGTCAAAGGTATAGGATGTGGCACACAGCAAGAGCAAGATGAATATATATCTCCATAAAGAGAAGAGAAAAACATTTTCCTAGCCAGAAATGGCTGCTGGCAGGGGTACCCTGTGCTTCCCCCCACCCCAAGCTGGAAACTACGTTGGATTCTCTCACCTCCAATGACGGGCACGTGGAGGTTCTCAGTTCGAGACACCACCTTGGGAAGGTCACAGGGCAGCAAGATAATAGGGTCAAAGAAGGTTGAGTGAGGAGCTGCCACCAGGATCGGGGCCTCTAGCCGGGATGCCCTCTGTCCTCGTACCCGAATGTGCATGAAGCCGAGCAGGAAGAACATCAAGCGACTCAGCAGGTAGACCGAACTGTGCGAAACTGTGCTGAAAAGGTGGGGGGAGGGGAAGGATGCACAGAGGGGAAGAAGGGCGGAAAGAAAGCCGTATTAGGCCAAACGGATCGAGGAAGCTGAAAAGCAGAGAGGTAGAGAGGCTAGAGCGTTTGGGGCTGGTCCTTGCTTTCATATGGGGAGTGGGAATGCAAAAATGTCATGAAATCTCGGGAGTTGGTTTTTGAAGAAACGGATGAAAGATTGCAGTCAAAGGGAGAGTTTACCCCGAGAATAGCACTGTTATCAATATTGGGTGAAGAACAAGGAAACTGGACAGTAAAATAATTGATAACAAACTTAGCAGTTGCAGCAAGATTAATTATAGCAAAAAACCCGGAAATTAAAGCATGAATTTTAATTACCACATTTTTCCATATGTAAGACTATACTTTTGCCTAAAATATTTAGACTAAAAATTGAGGGTCGTCTTATACACGGAGGTAAGCTGAGGAAAGAACAAAAATAAGTGGAGGGGAAAGCAGGGATCAAAGTGATCCTGCAGGGATTTGATCCTTGCTTTCCCTTCCACTTGCTAAGCCCCACTTAGATGTCTTAATTTTGGGTTAGAAAAGTGAGGGGGCGCGTCTTATACATGGGGGCAACTTATACACGGGAAAAATACGGTAAAATCTTAATTTTGGGTTAGAAAAGTGAAGGGGGCGCGTCTTATACATGGGGGGGACTTATACACGGGGAAAATACGGTAAATGAATGGCATCAAGCAGTATGGAATATTGCTATTCATGTTAAACGAACGTGTGCGATTCAGTTTCAAAAGGGTTTGACCAACAAAAATACCTTTAGAGATGTTTGGGGAGCTTTTATCGGTTATGTATTAATTAAAGGGAAGGGTCCCATGCCATCGAAATGATCAGTCCAGTCTTGGAAGGAGAATGGGTGATGAAACAAATACAGCATAATTCCAAAGGGCCCCAGTGGACGGATGGGCAATTTTGTGTATGCATGCATTAAGTCTTTCTATTTGTTAAATTTCTAATTTTTGTGTATTTTAGAGTCAATTTTTTTTTAAAAAGAGTTTTTTTAGGCTGGGATTTTGGAGACCCGGGTTCTAATCCTCACCCATCTGTAAAATTCATTGTGTGATCTCGGTAAAGGTAAAGGTAAAGGTTCCCCTTGACAATTTTTGTCCAGTCGTGTTCGACTCTAGGGGGCGGTGCTCATCCCCGTTTCCAAGCCATAGAGCCAGCGTTTTGTCCGAAGACAATCTTCCGTGGTCACATGGCCAGTGCGACTTAGACACGGAACGCTGTTACCTTCCCACCGAGGTGGTCCCTATTTGTCTACTCGCATTTGCATGCTTTCGAAGTGCTAGGTTGGCGGGAGCTGGGATAAGCGACGGGCGCTTACTCCATTGCGTGGATTCGATCTTACGACTGCTTGGTCTTCTGACCCTGCAGCACAGGCTTCTGCGGTTTAGCCCGCAGCGCCACCATGTCCCTTGTGTGATCTTGAGCCACCCACATTGTCTCCAATTGTGACCAACTTCACAGAGACACTGAAAGGATACTGTGGGAGAGAGAAGAGCGTGAACACCATCTTGTTCTCAGTGCAGGGCAGGCAGGATAATCAATGGAACCTTCTCAACCAATCAGAGCAAACCTCATCCACCAAGACGACATCCTCTACTTACTTCCTCCATCCCGTGAACGGCTCGTGCAGCGTCTCTTCCGGCAGTCCCACCACTTGGAGGAGAGCAAAGGGCCAGATGAGGAAAAGGACCACGAAGGCCAGAGCCACGCGGATCGGGGCCAGAAGGACGCCCAGCACATAGAACTGCAAACAAACAAAAACAAGTTGTAGGGTGTGTCCTAAGATTCAACTTGGTCTTCTTGTGGTTATTATTTTAAAGAAAGCCTACAAGAGAATATAAACTTGGAACGGTGGTGGTGAGGTACCACAAGGTCAGAAATACAGTGGTGCGTCAAGCGAAAAAAAAGCACAACCCATTGGAATGCATTGAAAACCGGTTAATACGTTCCAATGGGGGAAATGCCTCATCGTCCAGTGAAGATCCTCCATAGGGGAAGCCATTTTCGATCACTGTCTTGTGAAAATAGATCCGGAAAACAGCGGGGAGCCATTTTGCGAACCGCTGAGCAGCTGTTTTCAATCGTTCTCTTGCGAACAAATGGTGCGCGAAACAGGGACCTAATCATCGTAAAGTGAAAAAAAACCCATAGGAACCATCGTTTTGTGATCGCTATATCGATTGCAATAAAATCATCGTCAAGCAGGCTCATTGTCAAGCGCAGTGGTGCGTCAAGCGAAAAAAAAGCACAACCCATTGGAATGCATTGAAAACCGGTTAATACGTTCCAATGGGGGAAATGCCTCATCGTCCAGTGAAGATCCTCCATAGGGGAAGCCATTTTCGATCACTGTCTTGTGAAAATAGGTCCGGAAAACAGCAGGGAGCCATTTTTCGAACCGCCGAGCAGCTGTTTTTAATCGTCGTCTTGCGAACAATTGGTTCACGAAACAGGGACCTAATCATCGTAAAGTGAAAAAAAACCATAGGAACCATCGTTTTGCGATCGCTATAGCGATCGCAAAAAATTCATCGTCAAGCGGGCTCATTGTCAAGCAGGGCACCACTGTATCAACATCAGTCCAGCATCATAGGGCTGTGGCAAGCAGGTTGAGCCTGCCTATTAAAAGTGGTGATGTTCAAATTAACTAACATAAACAATAATGAATAATAATGTGCTATCAAGTCAGGGACTTAGGGTGACCCTTTTCAAGGCTCTCTGGGGAGAGAATTCTCAGAAATATTTCACCTTCCCCTTCTTCTACAGGCATCTTGGGCCTGTGCAGCTGGCCCGAGGCCACCCAGGTTGGCTCTACTTCCAGGAGGCCACAGTGGGGAATCGAACTCCTAACCTAAACCGCTGAACCATCCAGCCAAGCTTCATAATGTAAAAGCACAAAGTAAAAGTGGGATCTAGAGCATACCGACCTCCCAGCCAAGGGGAGGGAGGCAGTGGAAACGGGGAGAGGATTCTGTGGTGCCCACAGCTCGGTTTGGTGGCATCCCAGGGGTATCACGATGGGAACCCTGCCCTAGGATCTTCAATGAGAAAAAGGTCTTCTCCTGACCCCAGCCATGACAACATAACATCCACCATAGGACCTTTGTAGATGCAGCTGTTCTGTCTTAAAGACGTCTACATTGGCTTGGGCATGTTGTGAGAATGGCTGATGATTGGATTCCAAAAGATCTCCTGTATGGAGAATTAGTGCAGGGAAATTGCCCCAGAGGGAGACCACAGCTGCGATACAAGGAGATCTGCAAGCGGGATCTGAAGGCCTTAGGAATGGACGTCAACAGATGGGAAGCCTTGACCTCTGAGAGTTCACCTTGGAGGCAGGCAGTCGCATTCAGCCTGGGGGCAGGCGGTGCATCAACGCCTCTCCCAATTTGAAGAGTCCCTTGTCCAGCAGGCCGAGGCAAAGAGGCAGTCCCGAAACCAGCAAAATCAAGGAGCTGGACGGGGTACAAACTGTATTTGTCTTCAGTTTGGAAGGGATTGTCACTCTCGAATTGCCACGCCAGACGCTGTTCAAAGTCCTCCATACAGAGCACCTTACCATAGTCTCTCGAGACCGAAGGATGCCCCATCTTGATCTCCTCTGTCTTAAAGAAGTGAGACTCTTTGGTAAAAAGGTCTAGGTAGAATAATAATAACCTTTGAACTGGGAAACTGGAAGGCACCCTATGGATCATGGACTTCAGCCCCTCTCAAGGAGGCACAGCGGGGAACTGAACTCCCAACTTCTGACTCCACAGCCAGAGACCTTAAGCCACTGAGTTGTCCAGCTCTTCTCCAGAAGGACAAACTACATGCAAAAAAATAACGACGGGCAAACCATTTATTGGCCCATTAAAATATCAGAAACGGGTGAGCTTTCAAGCCATGCGGACATGATGTTGCAGAAGTTGGAACGGGGGGAAAGAAACAGAAAAGTCCCAAAGCCGAACCTGGACATTGGTTGAGGCTTTGGTATCTGGAATGTAAAATCTCAAGATAGATCCTGCCTTATTTTGGAAAAAACACTCCATTGCATTAATTTCCTACAGTGCTTCAGAGCCATGCAGCATGAAGCGGCCTCAGAGCACCGCAGGAAATATCAAATACTGGTTTCTCAGATGCAAAGCATGCCAGCAAATAAGCCCACAGCCAGGGGCTTATGGGGCAAGGATTAATGGCCAACAGCCCCTAACCCCCCCCCCAGGTTGCTTAAGTCCCAAGAACGCAGCTCCCCCGCCCAGCATTGGCTGTGGGCTCTTTGTTAACGCCACCGTCCACGTTTTACTTTGCAAGCCTTCTCTATGCAGAACGCCAAAGGAAATGGTTTCTAATAATATCTCATTCTGTCTGACAGGCATCCAGGCTGCACCGCTGGCGTCAAGTCAGGCCAAGCACCAACACCAGCCCTCGGTTTGCCCGGATTACAGCTCAGGCATCTGCTAGATTATGACTGCCCTAGATGATTGCTGCCCAGATCCGTAAAAGAGACTTCCAATCCCCTTCACCACATCTGCCCTTCGGGAACACCTGGGGAGACCTTTCCCCTCCTCTGCCACAGTTCGACCTCTGCTGCCGACCCAGTAGGCTTGGGATCATTCCGACTTCGCCATCCTCTATTTGCAAGAATCCTTTGTTTCATTCAAACTTGGGGGCAACACCCCCTTTTTTTAATTTTGGAGCCAGCCTCATGCCTCTCCCTTCCCTGTTCACCATCAACCAATCCCCCTTTTAACAACATCAGCAATCAATCAATCAATCAATCAATCAATCAATCAATCAATCAATCAATCAAATCAGCAATCAATCAATCAATCAATCAATCAATCAATCAATCAATCAATCAATCAATCAATCAATCAATCAATCAATCCAATTTCTAATACAGAACAAAAAAGAATAATTATGTGCCATTACAGTGCTTCCAATTTACAGCAACCCTTGAGAGGGGTTTCTAGGCTCAGATGTGCTTCACCGTTAAAGAAAACCCCAACAACTAGTAAACAATATGTTAAATTAATTTCATGGCATGAAATCTGGCAATTTAAAAAGTGTAGGATAGATAGATAGATAGATAGATAGATAGATAGATAGATAGATAGATAGATAGATAGATAGATAGATAGATAGATAGATAGATAGATAGATAGATAGATAGATAGATCTCAGTCTTCAACCTCCTTTGGAATGTCTTCAAACACACCTGGAAGATGTCTGTTCTGTTCTCCTCTGTTTCATTGATGCATAGTCTGTACGCAACTCTTTGAACAGTAAACTACACCAGAGTAAGCCAATTGAATATTCCTCTGTTTCATTGATGCATAGTCTGTACCCAACTCTTTGAACAGTGCACCAGAGTAAGCCAATTAAATATGTGGGGATTTGGTGAGTCATCTCCTCTATACGTTCCACTTGTTGCAATTCAAGTATATAATTATCTGAACTACCCACGAGAACTGGGTTGCACAGCCCGAAGAAGATGACTTCACGAAAGCTAGCTGTCTGTTGTTTCCTTCATTTTTTTTTTTTTTTAGTAGTCTAATAAAGGTATCGCCTGTTTCTGCATTTGTATTGTTTTGGAGACCCCACAGCTCTTTTGTGATTTTTTCCCCTTGCTGCAGTGGGGTTACTCTAGTTGTGACTTACCAAGGCATAACTAGAGGGCGGCTGATTCACGAAATCCTAACTGACTCAATGGGCCTACTCTAGTGCACAGGATTTCAACCGATGTGCACCTATCTATCTGCATATATATTCCCTATAACCCAGTGCATTAACTTCTGAGTAGATATACATTACTCTTACCCTGCAAACAGGCTGTGCGTTGAGCACGTACATTGATCTCAACTCTGATGCATTTCCAGAGTCTCTATTGGTCTGGTGGTGCTTCCCTACCGTTGATGTACAAAAGAATGGCATGTTTCTCTGCATTGCACTTAGGTCGAGACCTCATTATGCTAAGCGATGTGCAGCTAAGCTTCGGTCTTCCTCCAGGGCCGGCGCAGCGGAGGGAGACGTGTGTGCCGCATGCAGCCAAAAAATGCCTTGAAAGTTTCGGCCGTGGCCAACGGGCCCGTTGGAACAAGCTGCAGCGCTCAAAACACTGCCAGCCGCATGCATCCTCCACCCCCTCCCGGGCACAGTGCCAGCTCAGACAGCAGCCCTGGCATTTATCGCAGCCGCCGAAGCCTGAAAAAGTTCCTATGGGGGAGAAAATCCCCAAATCTCCAAAATGAATTATCCGTTTCGAGAAATACTGGCTTAGAATTGGGTGGGTTTTTTTTCCTCATTAGTACACAGCCCCTCCAAGCCCATCCAGTTATTGTATGTCTGCGACATAAAAAATATATATCCCACAAGCAGCATTCCTGTGCCTGGGCAGACCAAAATCATGGAAAGAGCTAGTAATTTCTCCTTAATTCAAGAGTTTAGGACTCTGTCCCAACCATTTTTCTGAATTGTGTCTGCATTGCTCAGAGAGTTGCATTCGAAGGACAAGAAGAGACTGTGGGTCTTTCCTAATTATCCGGTTTTTACCCATTAGTTTGGGTGTGTATATGCAATCCATCCAATTTAATCTGATATTTTTTTTTCATTTTCTCTTGATGCAATACTGTTCAGGTAATCGGGAATAATGTAACCAGCTTTCTAAGAACATGGCGCCACCACCACCCATGCGGCAAGGGAGCAGCCTGGGTAGGTGGGACTCGCCAGCCTGGAAAGGCAGCCCATCTAGGAGAAGGAAAA